ACTTTTATAAAATGTATAGAGCTTTTTTATTCCTATGACTTAATGTCCTAATTTTGTAGTCTACCAGCTTGATCCTTATTACTTAACCACTGCACAATTACATATCCATTCAAAAGTAAATGCTTTTAACACTAGTAACTGTAGAGAAATCTCAGTGCTCAAGGAAATCAAGTTGGTATCATGTTAATTGCATCTGAGAAAAAAAAATAGTCCCGTGGTTTTAGGTGGGACATTCACATTTCCAAGATTGCCACACATATATTTCAAATATGAATAAGAAGGGATTAAAATATTCTTGTATCAAAGTCTTTGTACAGTTACACAGTTGTACTTTGTGACTGGCTTTTGAGAAGACAGTGAGAATTGTTGCTAAGAAACTGCATTCATTTTAACATCTGAAAACTTCTTATTTGGACATTTAAAATTAGACCAAGAACTTTGGTTTTCTGAGAATATACTTTTAACCAACATAAATTTGGAATTCCTCAGTATATCCAAATATTAAAAGATAGTACAATAGCACATAACAAAGGGCAGACTTTTCAGGATACTTGAACCAATGTAGGCAAGAGTTTGGGGCATGTGGGCCCAAATTCAGGCTACATGGGCTCAGGAAATCTCTACTCCTATCCCAGGACTACCAGATGAACGACATTATTTATGAGAAATGATGGCAGTTGTTTTTCTCAATGAGTACAGTAGTCAGGCCTCATAGTGATATGTTGACCTGTATAAAAGGAACTCTTTTTTCCTGTGAACAATTAATTTCCTTTTATTCCTTGCTCATTTTAGTTCTTCGCCTGCATTTCTGTAGCGATTTTGAATACAAGCTTGTAACTTCTTAGAAACCTATATATAATCAAACATAATAATACTTTATGGTTAAGCAGAAAATGCAACAATTTGTGCTAGCCCCAAATTTCACACACACATAGAAAAGGAAGGTTCTTACTTCAAATTGTTCTTAAAATAAATTATGCTAAAAGACTAGAAACTTTGCTCCCCTCTCATATCAAAAAGGAGAACCTAATATTAAATAAGCAATGTCTAATTTAAGCATAAATCATCTATAAATGGAAATTGCCTGCTATGTATCTCTATCCAAAGATCTTCCTGTTAAGTGGCTATACTGGAGTACAGTAAAGGGGATCACAGAGCCAGTAGTACTGAGACCCTTCCAAGGCATTTTCCATATTGGCATCTGTGATATCCTTTCAAATTTACTAGTGTCCCTCATACCTTCATTCAGGAAATCCTGAATGTGCCTGATGCAATGCAGGTATAGGGAGTGAGCTGTATGTGCCATTGAGCTAATCTATACATACATAGTAACTTTAACACATGAAACACATCAGCTTTGCTGAGCAGGTAGCTCCATATATTTTTGCTGAGCAGGTAGCTCAATATATCTGGGATGTGCCAGACTCACTGCATATGGACTACACAATCAATATATCCATATTCAAAACATGATCATTTGATAAGTAGATATGACATCCAGCAAGTTGATGGATCAAGTCAGGAATCCAGAGAAGTAGCAGGAAAAACAATTCCAGGTTGAAAAAGGGACCTGTGCACATGGTAGTTCTGTGATTACACTTGTCTAAGCAAACTGCTCATTAAGAAGAGATCAATAACCATAAAGAATAAATGACTAGACAAATAATTAATCTGCTCATAAATAACCTTTTCCTTACATGTGAAACATGTTTTTACATGTGAAAGAGCCTTATAAAATCTTAATCTCTTTAATTAAATGTTAGGATTTTAGTTGCATTTTTTTTCTGCAAACCATATTCCATGATCTGTTTTAGTTGGTAGAGTAAGTGAACAGTAATTTTTTGTAGGAAGACCTTACCAAGGTTGGTGACCACTTTAAAGTTTAGCAACAACTTGCAATGAGTTTTGGGGTGGGCTGGCTGTGCTTTTTGTTTGATTTTTTTTTGTTGGTTTTGTTATGGGTTTTTTTCATTTTGGGTTTTTTTTTTAAACGGAAAGAAATAATTTTGGGACGGGTAAGGAACAAATGAGAGATCAGATACTTTTGTGACCTAGAATTTAACTTGCTTACTCCTGTTTAGGATTACAGTGATAGTATGCAGACATTATGGTTACTCAGGAGCATATGGTGCTCCTACTCTGTATTTATATTTTGAAGTAATACAGTTCCTGTCTGAGCTGCTCTGCTTTACCTCATCATAAGACAAGGAAAATAAAGCAATAACACTATCACAATAATATGCTAGGGATTCCAGTTGCCCATAAAGAAAATCTTGATGAAAGCAGATGAATTGGTTGTAAGATGCCAGCTCCAATATCAAGGTCCTATGGGAAGGCAGTCAATACCAAACTTAGAGAGAGATGCCATTGGCAATGTGCTTCAGAGCTTTTAATCAGGAGTGGCAGCTGTAATGAGTAACAGCAGCTCTCCACTGAAGAGGATGCAGTTTCCTATAGATGGATATTATGGTGGTTGGCACTTGGTTTGAGGGGCTCACTGAAGCCACGGCTCATAGTGTGTACCTTTGTTCTGTAAGCAGTCTGAACTAGTGAGCATCAATTTTATTGCGATATTTTAAACCTTTTCTTTATTCAAGTGAAGATGAAAAAACAATATTCCCTGCAAATGGCAACAGTATATATTACTGATTAACAGCTATAAGGTAAAATAATATAGAAGAGTTACACTGAGTGGCAAGTAAGCTAATTAGACTTTTGAAAGTTTTGAAATTTTCTGATAAAAACAGAGTAACTTTAACTTCCTGAAACTTATTTTCAATAGTCATTTTCAGAGGTGAACAAATAGATAATGTTAACAAATAAAGTACCAAATATCAGAAACTTGCATTTATTTTCCCTTAAGTTTAACTCAAGCAGAGTTGAAGCAATTTTTTAATTTGTGACCGTATGGCAAGAACAGCATATGGGTAAAAAGGGCCAGGATTTGCACTTTAGAGAACAAGGTCACAACTTTCTTGCCTTGTACAAAGAACTCTCTTAGTATCTGTTATTATCTGATCCATCAAAAGTTGTGGGACTCCAGCAATGTATAGCACACACCTAGCAAATTATACAGGGCTGAGAACATCAGTAGCAGAAGAAAATGGATACCATCAGTCAGAAAGTTCCATCTTACATCCCACCATCCTTTTTGCTTCTAAAATCCTTAGTCTTCTGAGGGCAAATAAATTTATGTCCATGCCTAATCTTCATAAGGTACAAGTTAACTCATCTAATGCTATCTGACGAAGAAAAAGAGGTGAAAACACAAAATGTGTCACCAGCATATTGATTAAAACCCCCATACTTTCTATACTTTCTCCTTTCCTTTGATCCCTCCCCACTCCAAGTTACCTGATAATGAAGTGACCAAATTCCCACTCCGACAGAATCTGAGAGGGCACAGGGGAATGGTTTCATGTTCTCTAATGAAAACGTGAAAGTCTCCACCTCTGCTAGCATCTAGTATTATCTAAACAGAACTTTACAAGACCAAGCTTAATTGGCACAGCTAAGAAAATCAGTATGGGCCCTTAACTTCTGCTCATTAGAGGGAAAAATCATAAGCTAACAACACAAGCATAATTTCTATAAATATCATGGCCTAATAAACAACGTGTCTGTTTAACAGGTGCTATGAAGCTTCAAATTACTGCAGCAGCTCACCTTCTAGTCTTTAGTAATCTTTCCTCCCAAAATGGAGATGTGTAAGAGAGCAAAAATTAAGCTGTTAAGAGTTAAAAAGTCTTGTTCTGAAACTGTTTTCTTGACAAATCAATTGTGAAAGCACAAAGATGATATGTTTTTAAAACAAACATCATCATCATTATTATTATTTATTTATTTTCAAGTTACACAAGGATGCCACAGGCACATTGATTTGGCAACATAAAAAATACAAATTAAAAACTTCATTCTTTCCTATCACCACTTCAGGTACGGGCCTCACTTGCTGCTCTGAGTGCCACCTGAGACCCAGTCCTGCTTGCTTTTTCTCATATGAATTGAGATGGTAATTTTTAAACCGTGGGCTCCTTATTCTGTTGTACATTTTTTTGGCATTTTTTTATTTCTACGGTTTTCTCTTGGAAATAACTTCCAAATTAATACTATGATAACATATATAGTTTTCATGTGAACATGTGTCTGTAGAACCACTACTGAAAAAAGAATTCACATACCAACGTGATCTTCAATAGATATTTTCCTTTTACCTTTAATAACTGACTGCTTTAATTATTACTGATAACAATGAATGGGACAATAGATAAATGGAGAATAACATAATATATAATAATTCTTGTGCTGAGTTCTTCAAACAGTCCTATTAAGAAGCATATATTAATCTAGACAGTAATGTTACAGACAAAACGTGAACTGTATCGTTGGTGTGGACCTCTGGTTAATTAACAGTTGGTAAGCCCATTCTCTCATACACAGACACACAACCGTGCAAAACATGGCACAGAAAGAAAATATTCCCTTACGTATCTTTTACCAAACCTAGCTAATAAGGGAGTTTGTTCAAATACCATAAATATATATATATATATATATATAGTGAAAATAGCAGTAGCAAACCATATAGATTTTATTCCTGGATCATCAGAATCTGAGATGCTCAGAATCTTATGAGACCTGGTGTTCCTGAGCCTGAAAATCAGCAGATTTTTCTTCTTAGGAAACAAGGTCACTTCTATAAAATGCTGGGAATTAATTTAGTATACCTCGATTATAAAATGATCTGATTTTGCAAGTAAGACTACTGCATCACAACATCACATTAAGAGTAAGAGGCCAGATATCAGATTTAACAAGGTTAAAATGAAAAAATCACACCATCATCACAATCAGTCGGTACAAAATGGCTTTGAATTCCCCATTCCATCCTTGACTGTCCCTTAACAGCAAACCAGAGGGTAAAATCCGATTCTGAAATGTGGAAAAGATCATATTGGTAAGATTTATTATGGGTACAATTAAATGTTTTGCCAGCTTACCTGATTGAAAGAGAATGACAAATCACTGCAAAGCCCAGCATCCAAAAATAATATGATAATATATGTCTCCTCCTGAAATAGTCCAGATTTCCATCCACAAAGCTTTACTAATTAATTATAATTTCTGTATTCTCAGTGGAAAGGAAAACACAGAGACCTTTCCAGAATCCTCTCTGATTCTGCCTCCGCTTCCTGTTCTCAGTCTCACTCTATGGTACCCAACATATATCAGAAAACAGCTTATTAGGAGAGGGGGGGTGAAGGGTGGGGGAATGGAGGGGGAGAAGTGAAAAAAATGCAGCACCTAACGTGGCAGCTCCACCTACTGGTAAAGATAATGAATACGTTGAATACGTACAAAGCATCAGCTTAGGAGGCATCTTTATCCCAGTTTATTCTGACCTACACTTCAAACAGCTCCTGTGTAGTAAGTTCCTCCAGGCAAGAAGCAGAACAGACCAGCAAAACCACACTGATTATTGAATAACCCTTTTAAAGGCTTTTTCTTAAAATAGTTCAATTTTAAAACAGTTGTCTATATACATTCAGCAGAGCATTTAGTTTTAAATGTGCTGTTTCCTTTAAATGTGCTCTTCCATGGGAAGAGAGGAATGTGTAAATAAGAGAGCACAGACACTGACTGCATGCACCCTTAACTGGTGTATGCTGAACTTGCTGATGATCCTGATACTGTCTTATTCATTAAATACTACCGTGTATTTTTGGCTTAATGTTAATTTCTTAGTGCGTAAAATCTGCTATGCTTATGTAAAAAGTATAGCTCAAAGTCTTTCCCTTAGACAGGATTCCTGGGCATGTGCAGATATACATCTGCTCACCTAGGATTCCTCTGGTCATCCTGGGAAGAATTATTAGAGCAGCGGCTCAAACATTGCCTGGTCCACGGGCAACCATATTGAGTGAATAGTGTGCTTCAGGCAACATATTATTTTGTCCTGCAATGTCAGTTTGAGAAGTATTGTGTCTGTGGAAGCAAGACATAGAAACGCTGAGCAATGTCGGCAAGTGTGTGCAATATATTGACTCATAGCCTTGGGTTAGAGACCACTACAGTTCCCAACTAACTTAAAATCTAGCTACCAGCTTTGTTCAGTCATGAACATTTAATCAACAAACGTTATTCCACAAAACAAGAAAAAAGAGACAATTTTGCTCTCTGGTAGCTCCTCTGTTTTCTTTAAGTACCTTTTCAGTAGTGGCTAAAGATAGCCCCATTCTCTGTCCCACTGGTCACGCAGTTTGTTTTGGAAGCAAGGACTCCAGGGCAGCCAGCATGTATCCAGCCTGACGGCCGCTACCAAATCACAACTACACAAAGCAGCAGTCGTGGTGACAGCTGCCTACAACTGATGACCCTTATCTCTACTACAGATATCCCTATTTAAATTAGCATACTTAAACCACAGTCCTTACGCAGTTGTGTCAATTTGTGAGGAGTCCTGTTGATTTCAGTTAAGCTTGCTGCCTGCTTGATGAATATAAATACCAATTTCCTGATTTGGCTAAGAGCAGCAAACAGAAATACATTTTCAGAGGATGTATGTATTCTGTATGTACCAAATAATTGCTGTATATAAAGTGAAAGAGATGTTCCCCCAGCTTGCAAATGCAGCTGCATTACTTTTTGTTTGTTTTTGTAAAACTGGGGCACACGGGGACACTCGTGATCACACTGTTCAAGCCAATCCCCGCTTTTATTCCAAAGAGACTTTAAGGGTGTGAACATATAGCATAATTTTATAAGGAAAAAAAAAAAAGAAAAATATTTGTTCTCCCTTTGATTTTAATATTTACATTTTCAAACTTTCAGAAGTTAAGAAGGAGTGTATTTTTAGTAAAAATGTTCACTGTCTCTAAAGCATTGGGTTTGCTTTCATAGGATTATATTAATTTAGCAAACCTATGAATGAACAGAAGCAGGTATCTTGATGTAAAACTGCTTAGGAACATTGTTTTGCAACCTTATTGTGTTTTCAAAATCAAACCAGTCCTTGGATAGGACTTTCATTTGCTTACATGTTGCATTTCTTTTATTTATTATTTTTAATCTTAAAAATTTTTCTTAGTGGTTTTTGGAAGTGTTCTTTAGAAAACCTTTATGTCATAGTCCAAATACAATCATCACCTAGTAACTTCCTAGTTAAGGGGGGGGGTTATACATGTTGAACCTGTTTCTCCTGGAAAAATAAAGAAATTCTAATCTATATAACAAACTATTTCAACCTCATTAAAAAAAAGGAACATAGTCCTTAATATCAGCAGTGTAATTCCAAGAGAAAAGGGTGTATAAAAACCAGTTTTGAACTGACCTAGTTCAGAGATTTGATTCTCTATTAAGTTTTATAACAGCATATTTTTAATAACTAATTTTTGTGTGCTGATGTTCCAAAAGATAGTTAGATTAATGTCATATTACTAGAGAAGCCCCAGTCTTGCTTTTTTTTGTGGTAGTGCCCTTATACTGATTGCAGTCTTCTGTGATGTACTGGTTGGCACAACCACTATATGTTATGTATTCGTCTATACCAAGACAGCCTTCTCATAGGCGTAGGTCTGATAGTAGAGAAACGTTGCATCCCTGATTTAAACAGTTCAATTATCAACCCTCACACTAAAAAAAAAAAAAATCCAGAAAAGAAAAATTTTGTTTGTAGAAATGATCATGCCACACAAAGTCATGGTAAATATTCATTTATGAATATAGCTTATATAGAGCTCATATTCTTCTTTAATCAATGTACAGGATTGCCGGCGGAGTGGTTCAAATTCATCGAAACCAGTCAGAGTCTTTGATTTACTGAAATGGAGTTTGAATCATGTTCTTAAGAATTCCTTAGCACTTTTTTAATCTATCAGTAGAACAACAGTGCAGAAGGACATAACTATGCAAAATGCATGAATAGGCATTTATACTATAAATACAACCTTACACACCTGAATTTTTAAACATGAAGAATTAATTTTAAAAAATTATCTTGCATCACAAATCTATATAAAATATATATATGCAATAATATGTATACCAAATGTGTACATACTATGTATACAAAATCTCTCTCCCTCTTTTCCTCTGCCTTACTAGATCCCGCTGAACATTTGACTGCCAGATCTGAAAATCAGAAGTGGTCATTTAAAAGACAACAACAAATAGACTGCTTTGACAAAAGTAATTTATAAGAAGACCAGCCTGGCACTTGTTTCAATTTAAATTATTAGTGCAACTTTTAATGAATCATCACTGAAAGTTCATTTCAGAAATCACATTTAAAAATATAACTTGAAAAGCCCTGACATTTCTAAATAATCTGTTTGTCTGGGAACCCTGCCCCAGGTGCAGTTATTCTTTCAGTAATGAGTGAATAAATACAAAGCTATTCAGTCACTTTTAACTAAACAACTGAAACAGAAATGTTGAAGTATCTTAGCTGAAAAGAAAAAAATAATTTGGAAGTATTAGATGAATGAATACAGCCCCTGTGTGAGGACAAGCCCTGTACATAGCTCACATGTAGCTTCTCAGCAATGCACTCATCAGCTTGTTTTAACATCAGATAATTTGTTTGATTAATACCATTATTTTTGGACAGTAATTCTCAGGCACTATACATTACACTATAGTGGACACTATACATTACACTATTCATCATTTGTCAAATTAACATGTACTTAAAAGCACCAAAATATATGACATGCTGTCATATCTATTCCTTCAACTACTTACCTGTATTAGCCTTTGGAAATGACCTAAATTGCAATGTTTAGCTAAATATGATAGATCTGACTTTAATTCAAGTTCAGGACTGGCTGATATAACTGTATAAACATTTTTTTCCACCTTTGGTTTCTTTCTTTTTTCTCCTTTTTGTCTCTAGAGTGCAGAATCAAAAAAAACTACTTTAAATAAATTTTGTACCAGAGTTAGCAATGCATATTTACAAGCCATGGACCTGCCATAGTGGCTTTCCAGCTAATCAACTGCACTTTAACTTGAGAATCTATTTTTATTTCACTGCCACTTAGGAGGGTAAGCAAAATTTAGTGAAGGCAACGCACAACTTCAGTGGAAGAATCTGGTGTAACATTTAAGGAAGATCAGTGGTAGGCTTGCAAAGGAGTTTCAATAGTTTCTTTTTATTCAAAAACTCTTAGGTTGCACATGTGGAATTTCAAAACTGGGAAAGAAAATACAAAATGTGGCAAGCAGTCAAATGTTACAGAACAGAACTGCAGAACTGCTTGGTATAAAGAGGAGCCTGAGAATATGCCTCAGTTCCACATCCTTGCTGTATCATCCGTAATAACATAATGTTCTGTTTGTATAGGATCACTTAAAAGTATAAGGACTTCATAGTAACTTAAGCCTTTGACAGCTAAAATACTTTAACAGCCCGTAGAGCATACTATCTGAAAAATTACTGGCTTTAAGGCATTCATAATAATATCATAATAAAGATATGTGATCAGCAATCTGTACTTTAATGGTTGTGGCTTTCAAAATAATACAAAATCATTTTAACATTAATGTTTCTAAATAATAGTTAGACCTCTCCTGTTCTTGTAGAAAAACAATACAAAGGCCATACCCAAATGGCCTCAGTCCCAATAATTCCATTGTTTTAGTAAAAATGAATTAAAAATAAGTCTCAAAGCATAAACCACCCCAACCACCTTCCATATATGCCTAAGTGTTTCCAAAATATTGACCTCTAGTTACAACTCTCCTGTCATTCAGATGAGCCACAATCACAATTACAAAATTGTTGTGAGCTGAACAAAATGCACACAACAATTACAGCTTAGAGATGTCTTAAAGCACTCACATTATATACACAGTATATATACACACACATGCTTTGTGTATATATTTAGAAAGAGTAGGGCTCTTGTGTATCTGTGTTTTGAATCAATAAGATCATCATGGGAGACTGATATCTGTTTAGTCTAGTGGTCCCACAGTGGCCAATACCATAGGCAACTAAGCTCAAGAGAATTAGCAGCAGACAATAATAAAATACCTGGTCAATAAAAAGATTTTTTCTTCTGCCAGTGATCCTCAAGCTAGAGGTGGGTCTAGCTGGCACACTACTTGTTGTAGGAGTTTCACAGCCAACTTCACTTGGCATTGTTAATTACGTAGTGAGAGAGTTGGTGAAAAGTTCCATAGGTTAACTGGGAGGATGCAGCTTTCCTACCATATATA